ATATCCAAAGGGAGATAAAGATATATTGAGGATAGGTGGTTTGGATTCTGTTGCATGCTTGCTGAGCGCGTACCTATCTCACCTTTGCGATAGAATAGTTGACTTTTCTCGATTTGTCGGGTTCTTCCAAATCTTTGAGCATATTTTTACGGGTGTTTGGAAAAACATTTAAAATATTTGTGGTTGGTTTAATTTATCTCTCTCTTTTTTTTTTCTTGTTATTCGATTTTCTTTTAAGAAATAGTTGTTCTGTTTTAGATATTTTGGATTCCTTGTTTAAACATTTTTGGGATTGCCAAGAGCTACATAGAGCAAATGGTATAGATTTTAGCTATGAAGTTAAAATGGACCAACGGATTTCACACTAGTAAGTCTCACAAAAAAATAGTATTTTGATATTTTTTATTAAATAGAGACAATCATAATCATTTGTTTTCACAGAATTTTCTTTGATAACAAATGTTGTAAATTAATTATATTTTTTTTACAGGCACTAAAATGTTTAATATTGTTTTTACTATTTGTGATTAGCTTAGGATTCTCCCTAACTTGCTAATTTTGTAGTGATTTTAGATCTCTCCTCTAGGCTCTAGGCTATATATAAATCACATTCAATATAATGAAAAGTCAATGGAATCATCCCCACTTTCAATACTATATTTGATAAGAAAAAGAATTATCATCAAGAATCACAAGGAAAAGAAAATTTAATAATGGTTAAATTATAAAAAAAAATCTAAGACATGTTAAACCAATCATACTTCATAAAGAAAAAAGATGATGTAGTTTTTTTATTGAATATTTTCCAAATTTTATATAGACTAATATAATGTCTATATGTCTCACTTTCAGTAACAATTTGGATTATTTTTAATAAAAGTTGATGATTTTGTAAGTTTTTATACAAACTTTTAACATAATTTCAATGGGATGCAATGATAATTAAGGCTTAAGAAATTGTAAACAAATTATGAAAGTATATTAAGGACTTTAAAGAGTCAAATTTTCTAAAAAACCAATGAAAGAGGATAATTTATTATGCATTTTCCAGTGATCAGTTTTGTTGAATACAAATATATACGTCAATCATATCCACATCATAAAATATGAGACGGTCTTGTTTAAAACAAAAACAGCCAATCCTCATGTTATTGTGTATAGTCAACTTTGATTATCCACATGACAGGGAATATATTCGTGAGTATACAAATTTCAATGTGGAGATGTAGTTTCAGGTAAAGCAAGCTAAATTTTATCATCGAGACTACTTAAAACATCGAATCCACAATATCTAAAACGGAATAAAATTTACGTATTGAAATATTTTAGCCTATACATCTTTGGTCATTTGATTTTTATCTGACAGTTTTATGGTTATAATTTATTTGCTCATCGGCAAGATGTGAACAGCCAAAACATAAAGATGTTATATATATGTATTTTAGCATTAGATTCCAACGTATTACATAAATAAATAAACTAGCTTTCATTTATAAGCACAAGTAGATATATTACGTATTTTTAAAAGTATATGTAAAGTAAAAAATTAAAACGAATATGCACT